ACTGCCAGGCTGTCAGACGTCGGCCTGCAGTACCAGGGGAGGGCTGCTGTACGTTTCAACTGACTGGAGTTTAAAATGGCACGGACAATTAGTGCAATTACACAGAAAAGGCAGCAATTATCTTTCAATTTCAACTATCAACAGACTGGCTAATTGGTGTGATTAAAACATATCACACTGAACTTTGGCTTTTATAAATCAAAAACAAAAAAAAAAAACAATCGGCATTTAACCTATACAGACCTTCAATAACATAGCGGTTATTTAGCTGTTTCAGCTTTTTGTGGTCGTCCTTCACCGAAGCCCTGACACTCGGCTCCCAGGGACCACCGGAAAGGGCAGGCAGAACGATCAGGCTCACCGTGGCTCATCACTAATTCATCCATTTAATCTTTTATTTATTAATGACCTTATTAAAGTCATGTGTTTTTTGTTTTTTTTTAAGGGGCTTGTTATGTTTTCAGCAGGGGGTGGCCGATATTGCTCAGGGTGCTCCCCAGAGTGCGGACAAAGGGGCAGCTTTCAGCCGGCACTGATACCATGGGCAGTCCAGGTCTTTTCAGCCGGCACTGATACCATGGGCAGTCCAGGTCTTTTCAGCCGGCACTGATACCATGGGCAGTCCAGGTCTTTTCAGCCGGCACTGATACCATGGGCAGTCCAGGTCTTTTCAGCCGGCACTGATACAATGGGCAGTCTAGGTCTTTTCAGAGATTCAGTCGTTTGGCTCAAGTCATGAGCAAGAACCCACTCATTTTGTTCCAAAACAGCTCCTTCAATGGCATTTCTGTTACCACTCCAGCTGTTTAATGGAATCTTAGGCCTACTCCACATTCTGTTTACTAGATTAACATTAACATTACTGCTTATTCTAAAACCAACATCAATAAGCGTAGAGATTTTTTTAAAGTAGTTAAATTGAATGATAATGAACATAAAGGAACACAACACATCTAGATCACAACAGAACATTACTAGAACTGATTCATATAACTAAAATTACTACCATAATCTGCACTGAAAAACGACAGATACCGCAGTAGTGGGGGATGATCCTGCTTCTTCTCTCTGTAAGCTTATCTCAGAAGCGACTGATGTTGCTGTGATGTTGCTCTTTCATAACTTGAGTAAGTTATGGATAGGTAGAGCTTGCTCTCCCATGGTCTGGAAATCAGCAAATCTTTGAAGGGCCTCCTCTAATAGAATCTCTTGAGGGATTTCTTCTGCTTGCATCTCCAGTCCTTCCAGCTCCTCGACCAAACTTTATAATGGCAGGGTTACGGTTGGATTTGGTCATGTTAGCTGCACACTAACGCATCACATCTCTTTGTTATTGATTCTCCATTGTCTTGCAGGTCTTTGCAGTGCCTCTGTCAGGTTCTCCAAGCACTGATCTCAAAACAGTCCAGAAGACAGGATGTATTTTTCAATGAGGACGCAAGTAAACAGGCATAAATGAAGTGGTGGTGCTGGACAACCAGCAGGCAATTGTCAGGTCATCTTTTTCTTGCTGTAAAGCCCACACTCTATCATACAGACTTGGATTAACCGTTTCACAGAGAGTTTCCTAACTAGGATAACATACACTGGAATGAGAGCATGGCTGTTCTTTCTAAGAAGCGCTGGAAATCACTGACAGTCAATTCCTCCTCAGTTGTGTTTTGTTGTGTGGAAGTCATTGTCTTTCACATGTACTGGCTTGTAGAGCCCTGTGTTGCTGTCGGACATGATGTGGTTGTTGCATGAGAAGTGGATCATGCAGTAGCAGACACAGACATTGCAGTACTCTGAGACGTGGAGGCACTGGCTTCTTCACCATGTTCAGCAGAAGGCCACCTTGTCTTAGCTGTACTAAGTGCACAATAGGAAACGCAGTTCAAGTATGCCTATGATGGTTGTAGGTTGATGGGCGGCACAGTGGTGCAGTGGTTAGCACTGCAGCCTCACACCTCTGGGACCAGGATTTCAGTGTCTGCCAAAGTTCCATGTGTGTAGAGTTTGCATCTTCTCTCCCTGTTGTCATGGGGTTTCCTCCAGGTACTTGAAACCATGCTGAGGTTAACTGTTGTTACCATATTGCCCATAGGTGTCAGTGTGCCCTGCAATGATTTGGCACCCCATCCTGGGTTGTTCCCTAGGATAGACCCCCCCATGACCCAGAACAGGCCAAGCAGTTACAGAAAATGGATGGATGGTTGTTGGTTGACCATCCTCCATATTAAATTCTATGCAGGATCCCAGGAATACAGAGCTTATTGGGCATAGATGGATGGATGGATGGACTTTTACATTGTCTGCGTCATTAAAATGCATCCAAAACCTACTGAATTGTTGTTTGCTTCCTGCTGTTGCAGCTTATTTACCTTCTTGGCCTTTAATGTCTGGCGAGTCAGTCACATGCCCATGGACAACATGCAAATTTAAATGTTGCAGTAGGACATCAGGTGTTATAACTTTCTCTGCTTTTGCAAATCTGATTGTTGCAAGAAATAAGTAAATAAGATTTTATTTCTTCAGCAATATGTGTTTGGTCAAAATGGTAAAAAGCTTTCAAGAGCAACAAAAAGTTAAAAATTAAAAAGAGGAAAGAGTCTATGGCAGTGTTTCCCAAGCCGGTCCAGCTCCCAGTCAGCCGTCAACATTTTTGATCCCTACGGGTGCTGGGAGGGAGCAAAAACATGGACTGTCTGCGGGTCCCGGATTGGGAAACACTGGTCTGTAGTAAGAACAAACATTCTAGCTAACAATAACAATATTCACATCATATTCTTATAACCGCCTCTCCTTGTCAGCGTCACGAGGAATAGTTCTACATTATGTATATATCTTGCAGTTTAAACAACGATTCTTGATTCTTAAAAACTTTATTCACCTCCACCAATGTATGCGTGTGCAATGATTGATTCATTAATTTAACCATTTTTTGCATCATACGATTTTCAGTTGAAAACCAGTATCGAGAATAGGTGGGATTCATCATGTTAACAAACGACATGACACGTCACTCTGCACAAAGAGGGAATAACTTAAACGTCTCGCCATTCGTGTGATTTGACAAAACATCAGCGATCAAGTTATGTCATATGACCGTAATTAGTTACAATAAGCCTACAAATACATTAATAAATTGAAACCGTTACAGAAAGAGCTACTTCGGCAAACGTACAATGTGAACAGAATAAAAAGTAGCCTTATGTATCATACCTATGTTTCTCTGTGTTCTACTGCAGTACGTAAAGGATCTGGAGACGGACACAGCGAGGCGTGCAGTTCCTTTATTGTCCAGCAGAGGAGGCTTCAGCCTCACGCAAGTCCCTTTGATTGGGTCATTCAGACCCGTCTGGCGATTCGGGTTCACCTCTGCAGTTGACCTGTGTTCAGCACGAAGACCTAAAATATATATAGCGGCCTTATCTTCAAAGGCAGAAACTGCATGAAAACTGAATCAATCCAAGGTTCATTAAGAAAACAAACAGCGACAGTCTGCATGTCACTTGCTTTCACGACATTTACCCACTCCGTGGAGTTACTTAACCATGCCAAATACATATCAGTTTCATAGCATAAATGAAGATGCCCTGCTGTCGCCGTGCGTTCTCCTTATTACAAAGTTCTGTTTACTCAGCCACCGGTTGATTACATATTGATCTTTTGCTTTGATAGATCCTTGGGAGAGCAACGCGGATTTCAAATTAGAGGTATGTTCGCAATGTATTTAAAGCGAGTGCATTGACTGATGACCTTTGGGTGTCTTTTTAAAATCCCGCTGTATCAATCTGTTAGAGATTTCGGGGAATATGGAAAGCACTAATTTTCTGTCTGATGCTCCCATTTACAGTTTGGTGGTGAAACGGGGCCACCTGGTGGATTATGATTTGTATATTAGAAGGAAAGACATTTACTGCCGCTTATCCCAAACAGGGTCACGGGGCACATATGCATGTGTATGTAGGCACAATCACTTCCATATAAGATTTGTAAAAGACTCGTTTCGCATACAACGTTTATTTTAACATTTCAGCTGTAGTTCCAGTGTTAGGTAAAACAGGGAAAATAGTTCATCATATCCTACTGTATGAACGTCCGAAATGTTTCGATGGGTTAGTTTGAATGAAACGTCGAATAAAAAAAATCTACTCATAATATCAAGTGCAGGCATAATTATTTTAAACGATTAATTAAAATACTGTCATAAACGTAACTGAAATAAGTACAACTAGCCACATTTTGGTATTAGATTAATGTAGGAAGTCTGAACGCCCGACATGTATGCAATATGAAACGGCTCAATTGCAACCCAGTAAGAACCATAACAGCATGTTTCTTGGGCTATTTTGAACTTGGTTATAGTACTGTTTCACTATTTGCTACTTACGTTGATATTTCTCAATTCAGCACACAAATCCTCTATCACAGTGGCTACGGTTCTTTAATGTTCCAACCAACCTAATGATATATGACTGGCCAGCTATGAAACGATGACTCGGCAATAAATACGTAAAATGTTTCCTGTTCATTTGTAGTAATTATAATAATGTGATGCTAAACCGTGCCTATTCTCGTATTACGTAGGTTTTTTTGTCAGCGTCAAATATAAGACCGTTTTGCGTCTGCGACGGCCCCCCTTGTGACTCGGGAAACGCGGATATTTGCCCAAGAGTATATAGGTGTCAATTGTACTGTCGCCACCTGGCGGCGCCACCAGAATCCCTTTATGTTTTTTACACCCTAATCCTCGACCTACATTCTGGCTTGCACCAAATACCAATACTAATACTACAATGCTAATAATAACAACGAAGCATGGCCATCTGAAAGAAATATACGGCTGGACTGAGTTACAAACATGCCAAAAATAATAGCATTTTTCGCAAGTATGCACGCTGATGTTCTCAACCTGCTTCCTGTTTCAATACAGTTTTGCCCGTAAATGGCAACACACGTTCCTGAGTTTATAAGCAAAATAACTCCACAAAGGGGCCATGTGGATTTAAGAGATTTAATTTAAGGTACTTTGGGTAAGACATTTTTAATGATGCCAGTAGTACCACAGCTACCGTTATTAAAATACCAAAGAACCGCATTTCATGACATACGGCAGTATCACCCTTCCTGACATGTTATTGGAGAGAAGACCGACACAGAACATTAACTGTGGTACCCTTACCACCAAAGTAAGGCCAGACTGAAAGTTTAAGGCTCCATTAAAAATACTGACATTTTTGTCTTTTATCCATAAATTTTCGGTAACCAGTAGTCCTATGCAGGGCTGTGGGGGGTTTGGAACCTATGAGTATAAGGCAGGGGACAACCCAGGATGGAGCTGCCAAACCATCACAGGGTCGCACACTCACACCGTTCACACCAACGAGGAATTTGGTGACTCTGTTCAACCTCAGCATGTTTTTGGACCGTGGAGGGAGACCCCACGAGGACACAGGGAGAACATGCACACACACAGGGAGAACTCCACACACACGGAACCCGGCCAGAGACTTGAATCCAGGTCACAGAGATGTGAGGGAGCCGTGCTGACTACTGCACTGCATCACCATCCAACCCCGCAGGGAGAGTCATCTGTGATGAATTTCCATACAGATTAGCTATCAACATATGCGTACAAAAAAGATTGCAGCTGTATACTTTTTGCATTTTATATTTGTTTTAATCCTCTCAGTGAAAACCCTGTTGTCCGCTAGGTAGCACGTCCAGTACACACCAGAGCTTCAGTGTTCAGTCCAACCTGCTTCCGATTGACACATAACAAAACAGTACGAGAGAATGGGCTCACAGCGCTGCCCTTGCGTGCTGCTTTTGACACAGCAGTGGGCGTGGCTTACTACAAACAGGAAGGAGGGGCGGGCGAGGAACCCCTACCGGTATGGAGCACATATAGTCTGGTGTGCATATAGCCACACACCTGCACATTCACAGATGCACACACATATTTTATTTATATATTTATATATTGTTTTGTATTTTAAATGAATTAAACAGAAATGCTTCTTAGAAGCTCTGAAATGGCCAAATGTCCTAGACATCATAAATTAAGATTACAATGACAAGATCTATAATTACAACAATAATATTAATAATAACATTAATAACAACAACAATAATAGTAATAATAATAACAACAACCATATAAATGTTGATAATGAACTGGCGATGACTGTCAAGCAAACAGGGGGCGCTACTGCAGCATGATGGTGAATGGCTCAGCTCCAGCGAAGCAGCGTTGTTGTATGGGTCAGGCTTTTCGGGGTCCCCTTCCAGCAGCAGTTTTGACCCTGGGGCCCATGGGACCCTGCCTCAGAATGTCCCCCATGCCTCAGATCTTGGTTTCGGGGCCATCGGAGTCCAGCGGCTGGAAGGAGTTGCGCAGGCGGGCTGCGTCGGCTGCGCACAGGTAGCCGAAAGCCTTATTATACCACTCCGGAGACCTGCCCCTGAAAGGGAACACGCACATGGTGAACCTGTGCTGACATACTGAATAAACCCATATTTTAATCGCCATTTGTGGGGGGGAGCTGGTGTGTGGCTCAGCGGGCTAGGATTAGGATTAGGGTTAGGATTTCCCGTGATCTGAAGGTTACTGGTTTAAATCCCAGGACTGGTAAACTGATGCTGCCTTTAGGCCCCTGAGAAAGGCCCTTAAACCCCAGCTCCTGGGGCACCACCTGCTGGCTGATCCTGTGCTGTGCCCCCCCCCCCACCAAGCGACCTCTCACTTGCCTGTGTGTCTCATGAAGAACAAGAAGGAGTAGGCGCAAAGAGAATTAATCCCATGGGGATTAATGAAGTACCGTGTTTCCCCAAAAATAAGACCTACCCAGAAAATAAGCCCTAATTACTATCCCACGGATTGTATGGTAACTAGAATGAGATGCGATTGTATGTAAACAGGAAATAATATTTTGACAAGACGAGTGCAAAAAGAAAGGAAATTCTGGTTCTAAAGGAAATTGAGTTGCGAGATATTCAGGATGGAATTTGGAGCTTGGAGATTTACGATGATGTTCCAGAAGAAGATAACATGACGACTATATTTGAATAAATGTATACACAGTAGATTTTTGTTCATGAATAAATGTACCATTAGATTGTTTACATGGAAAGATACAGTTAGAAGATGACATGATGTCTGTATTTGAATAAATGTGGATTTTTGTTCATGAATGTACTATAATGTAAATGTACTATAATTTGTTGTACATGGGAAAATAAGACACCCCCTGAAAATAAGCCCTAATGCATCTTTTGGAGCAAAAATTAATATAAGACCCTGTTTTATTTTCGGGGAAACACGGTATTACTATTCTATGTGCAGGTGCATAGGAATTCTTTGGTTTTTGCCTATTCACACAAATATACAGGTGAGAATAAAGCTTGGAGTCTTAGCACAGATTTAGCTATTTATCCACAACCCCAGGAGCATTTTGAGAGTGAAGGGCTTTGGTCACATGCCCAGCGGTGCTGCAACTACTCTGCCGACCATGGGATTCAAACCAATGACATTCTGATCACAGACACAGAGGCTAGACCCACAGAGACACACTGCAGCATGTGGAATTTGTTAGGTTAACAGACATTTACTCACAGAATTCAATTTCTTTCTGCTGACATATGGGAAATGAATAGGTACCTGAACTTTGAAGCACTCACATCAAAATGTATTGAAACAGTGAAGCACACTGGTATTTTTCACCGTCACCAGATCATGTCACTGTTCGTATGAACTCAACGGTGCGGTAATTTTCACCAAGGAGTGTAGGTGAATGAAGGGATCAGGTTGAGTCATAGCTGTGCTTTGCAGAGGCCAGTAAACCAAGGTCTACTTACTTCAGGTCAACTCTGCAGATATGCGTAAGGCGAGACTTCCCCGTTCCACACGGTTCCAACAGGAAATGCGAGTCCAGAATAACGCAGCGGACCCCACCCATGGCCGGGCAGTCCTCGAGATCCACAGACATGGACACCAGAGCACATGCTCCCTTAGGCATGCCCGTCCGCCAGGACCTGGTACAAACAATGAGGTTTGCATCAGTAACGAACAGATAAGGTTCTGGGGCTCCAGTAGCGATGGCTAAATGAAGCTTCATGAACCATTTGCTGTATTTTGTGAGCCCACTAGATGGCACACTTGATTTGCTTTGGGGTATACTTTGAGCCCTTTTTGAGCAGAGAGCACCATCTAGCAGAGTCAGAAAATACAGCAAGTTGTTCATGGGGCTTCATTTGGGCATCACTAGGCCCTAGTCTGTGCTCATGTGCCGTTCAGTGAGCCTCCAGCCGCTGACTCACCTGAGTACCACGAAGTCACGGCTGGGGTGTGGGGGCATGCTGTTGATGGCGTACTGGAAAACCTCCGTCTGCCTGTCCAGCGTCTCCCTCACCTTCCACTGCAGAAAGTCCATGTCCCATAGGTGGCGCTCACGTAACACGCGGTTCAGCACCACAGAGGGTGGGGCCTCCACTTCGACCATGACCCGCCAGCGCCGGAGGGGATTACCGTCCCCTACCTGGGAGGAGGGTGGAGGAAGGGGTTGGAGAATGGGAGTTAGAGGGTGGGCTGCAAGGAGGGGCGTTATGCTCTTAAAAGCAGTGTTGGAGAAGTTACTTTCAAAAGTAATCCATTACAGAGGTGGAAGGTTTAGTTCCAGAAAGTACAAATCCAAACCAAGGTTTGGTTTCAACTAAACAGTTGAGTACTCTGTGACTGTGACTCTTTATACTCAACTGTTTATTATGCATTCTCCATTATAATGAGACTGTGTTAATCTATGTGTCTATGCCAGCATGTTAGTTTTCAATCTATGCAACCAGCTAGTTACATATAAAAGTTTATAATCATCAAAACATAACAGAAAAAAATAAGGTAAACCTTAAAACACACAGACGGCAATGATGAGATAATTGGTGATGGCCAAATGAAGCTTCATTAACCACTTGCTGTATTTTCTGACTAGATGGTGCTGCTCTCTGTCCATAAAATGGCTCAAAGCATGCCCCAAAGCAAGCCAAGAGCGCCATCTAGTGGGGTCAAAAAGTACAGCAAATGGTTCATGGAGCTTAATTTGGTCATCACTAGATTACCTAAAAATTATACAATTCTAAATAAGGTGCTTTATGTTAGTTTTAGTTAAAAACCCCAGAACTTACAAAACATTTGTATTCCAAATCACAATATGGACATGACTGGTCCCACTCTAAACCAAAGTTACATACTCATACTCATGAGCTTCCCCTAGTGTCTGGACCCCTGAAAGTCTAGCTCATGGGAGTTTCACTTACATAAGAAAGTTTGGAGGGCAAAAAAAATGATTGTTTCTGAGAGATAACCAATCAGATTATAGAGGAGATGGGTCCAAGCAACTACAGGAAGCGGGACCAAGATTTCTCATTGGCAGGGTAATTTTCCCTTCTGCCCTCAGAGCATTTTTGTGTAAGTAAAACTCCCATGAGCTAAAGTCTTCCCCTTTCTCCCCCCTTAAGGGAGGCTCTGGCTGTGTATGTGTTTTTCCACATGGTCATTTTGTCACACGCCGGGACAGAGCCCCACCTTCCTGTAGGACAGCTCCGTGCCGTCGCTGGAGGGGCAGGACACCCAGACCTTGGACCTGTCTCGGGCCTCCCTGAGCAGCTCCTGCAGCAGGATTTCCATGCGGCCTTGGCAGCAGGCCTCACTGCCCTCCCGGGGCCCACACAGCTCCTCCACGGTGGGCAGCGGCATCTCCGCCTCCACGTACGAGTTACGCGACTGCGCCACCATCTCATGGGGCACCTGGAGAGTGGTGGGTTACAAAGGAATGCTACATGTATGCTCATTCGCCCATTCCCTAGAGCAGTGTTTCCCAATCTGGTTCTCGGGGACCCACAGACAGTTCATGTTTTTGTGAGCTGGGAGGGAGCAAAAATGTGGGCTGTCTTGTAGGGAGTTTGGAGGGAGCAAAAATATGGTCTGGGCTGGAAAACATTGCCCTAGAGTAACGAACACAAAATGTATTCCATGCAACAAACTGAACAGTTCACACAGATTAGTTCAATAAATGTTCACCTCATAGCAGGGATTCTCAACCTTTCCAACCATAAGGGCTAGCTGTGGACCATTACAAAGTGTCCCGCTAGGTATCTCTCGCCAACCAGAGCAGGGGTGAGGGGTTTGGTTCACTGCAGACCAAACCGCACTTAGCCAATATTGATCGGTGGCCCACTAAAGGCCAATGGTAGAGGAACCTTGTCCGAGAGATGGTGTTAGCTTTCTGAGGTTTGCAGGCATTTCTCCACCTCCATAAGAACACCACCTATGTTCATTACAGCACCACCAGGAACAACATTTCTGTGCTGCCTCTGCTATGTCTCAGTGTATTTGCGGTGTTTTGCTCTGTGACTGTGTGTTGTGTTGCAGGACATTCCAGTGACGGCGGTGGTTAATTGTTCCTGTTCCTGCCATCGGTAATTGGGTGTATGGCTGTATAAAGGGGTGCTGTTCCCTTGAGAGAGGAGGCTGCGCTTTTCCATTAGTGACGTTCCGCCTATAGTCACGCTTTGTCGTCATGAGCGCTTTTTGCTTCTGTGACAGACAGGCATGGCTTCGGCGTTGTGCCTTGTTATTTTTGTCATTTGGTCTTGTTTTTCCATCTTTTGTTATACAAGCCATTATTTGTAATAAACCTTTTGTTTTACTGATTATTTTGTTCGTCGTGTGTTGGAGGTTTTTCGCCATCTCTTTTTCTTTGTTAAGGTGTCCTATCCCTAGACTGGAACTTAACACCTCCAGTGGAAGATGCACACCAACACACTCACTCACCAACAAACTCACCCACCAACACACTCACTCACCAACACACTCACTCACCAACACACTCACTCACCAACACACTCACTCACAAACACACATACTCACAAACACACACACTCAGTCATCTTCTTCATGGAGATAGCTGTTTCACCCCCCCACTACCTCCATCCTCTAGACCAGGGTTCTTCAACTCTGGACCTCGATTCCAAATCCAGGCCGTGTTTTCAGTTCTCCCAGGTAGTTGTTTAATAATTACTGATTCTGATTGGTCAGAGGCTTCACGCCTGACTGACAGGTAAAGGAAGGCTGGAAAACCAGCAGTGCTTGGACCTCGAGGACCGTGAGTTGAATAACCCTGCTCTAGACAGTCCCAGCATCTTCAGGTTCCCAAGTTTCCAAAACTCACTCAGTCCACAGGATAAGCCTTTGAGCAAAATTTCCAAAACTCACACAGAAATTAACTGACGTTCTTTATCAGGGTACGTGACGATTGATTGGTTATAGTTCCCAGCACTAACAATGAGGAAGCCTGACTCTAGGTGTCAGGCGATCTCATCACAAAAACAACAAAATATGGACTGAGTGAGCTTTGGATATTTGCTCATCAATTCTCTGTGTGTGGGACACGGCAGTTTTCTTCAACCCAGTCCTCCAGAACCCCCAGACAGTCCACATTGATGCTCCCTCCCAGTTTCCAACACACCCATAGCAGATATTTAGTGTTTTTGGCTGGCTAGAAGCTGGGAGGGAGAAAAAATGTGGACTGGGGGTCCCCACGGACTGGGCAGGGGTTCCTCACCTCAAAGAGGCGGACACACTCAGTGATCATGTGGGCCAGCCCTTGAGTGGCAGCCATGTTCTCATTCAGGTCCTTTTGGTCCGGTCGCCCTGTGGCATACTTCTTCTGCATGGCTCTGAAAAAAGTGGAGTTGGGAGGGGGGAGGGGTGGTTTGAAATCAGTACAGACGCTCCTCTACTTATGAACATTTAACTTACGAACTTTCAGTCATGCGAACGAAGTCCAAATTGTGTTCGTTGGGCTCCCGTTTCCTGTCCGCAACATAATTTTTTTTCTGCACGCCAATTCCACCTAATCTTCTGCCCGCTACGTAGCGTAGCGTGCGTACTCCCAGCGTGCAGCAGCGTAGCGTGCGTACTCCCAGCGCGCAGCAGCGTAGCGTGCGTACTCCCAGCGCGCAGCAGCGTAGCGTGCGTACTCCCAGCGCGCAGCAGCGTAGCGTGCGTACTCCCAGCACCCTAGATCTTTCTACCCTTAAATGATGATGAATAACGACTTACGAACATCTCAAGTTACGAACGGCCGTTTGGAACGCAACTCGTTAGTAAATAGAGGAGCGTCTATACTCCAGAAAGGGGGGTGCATGTGTATTCCAGTTACATCAACATGTGACCCCCCCCCACACACACACACACACACACCTGACCTCTGTTCATCACGGCAGCATGCGTCCTGACTTTGATCCCCGTCAACTGCCCCGCCCACCCACCCAAAAGCAAAACCATCAGCAGCTTCATGAGTGGTTTAATGACAGGGGACAGTTTGTTTGCACACAGCATGACCCCATAAAAGCCGGCGTCTTTAAGGAGCAGACTGCAGCTGCAGCTGCAGCAGGAGGTGTGCTGGGACTGCACCTCACGAGAGCTGACCTTCATTAGTGGCTGGGTACGGCATGCTGCTTTGCTCTACACGAAAGTCTGAGGCAGTCATAGAAAATGATCTTTAAATGATCGTTATGTTGGTGTCAAACTATGCTATTATGCCTGTCAAAGTGTTCCAGCTTAGCCGCTTCAAAACCTCCCCTAAAATCACCACAGTATTTGCAGCAACCATCCAACGCACCCACGTATTTTTTTGACTCGACCACTAGCATGTCATGTTTGGCTCACCGATACCTCATTGAGTTATTTTAAGTTAATCAGTTAATTGAGCTGGTGGAGAAATTTAGCGAGTACATGGAATGGCTGAGGTGCCTTTGAGGAGAGGTTTGGGAACCAAAGCGGTGTTCGTCTAGCCATCCAAGTAGATATCAGTTACGTTTTGGAGAACAGAAGAAATTCCTGTTAGTTACCATGTTACTACTAATTTGCATATGTTCTAATGTTAAATTGTGTAAATACACACTTACTTTCAGGATCAGTTTAATAGATAAAGAGAGCAGGTCTGGGTGACTGTCTTGTATTCGGGGTATTACCGTGGTGACAGGTTGTCCTTCTTCAGGATGTTGAGGTGAAAAAGCGAGGGCGCCAAGCACACAGCGATGTTCATGGGAGTCATCTGGTTCTCCCCCACAGAGGAAGTGACATCACTCAGGAAGCACAGCAGGGCTTGCAGCACCTCGCGGTTCTCGTCCGACATCAGCATGATGGCTGCCTGCACTGCCTGAAGCCGCTGTTCCTTGGGTACGTCTGGATGGGGGGGGGGGTCAGGGGGTGGGATGGGAGTGGAATGTGAATGGTAGTGAGTACGCGTTAGCGGGGGAGGGGACAGGATGAAAGCGGGAGGAGATGAAAGAAGCCACAGGTGGTTGTTATTACGATCCCTGCGAGACGGCCAAGTGAAAACGCACATGCTGAGCACCTCCTCAGGCACGCTCTTTGTCCTTAATTATGCGAGCGTGCACGAGGACCCCAGACAGACTGCTGATGGTGATGAAGTGACTCACACCAAAGGTGTGAGAAAATCACCTGGGAGGCAACCCCCCAAATTAAAGACTGCATATGTTGACTGACTGAAGTTTATTTAATAGATGCTGGTCTCGCCCATGTATATTTCAGGCGTGTGCTGTTTTTGCACTGCCGAATGCACAGAAAAGTGTCTGCCCTAAATTATCCACAGCCGCAGATCGTTCTGATGCTCACACTGGTAGATGTGCAGGAAGGTCTCGCCCAGCTTGCTGGTCAGCAGAGGTTCGGGTAGGTCTCTGAAGAACTGCTTCAGCATGTCCGCCACATCATAGGCCGACTGCTCCTCATAGTCCACGTGCTCGGGGGAGCTCTCGTTCATCTGCCTCAGTGCCTGGATCCGCGACTTCACCCCCGACTTGCGGAAAAGGCCCACCTGAAAAAAGGCGGAAAGACAGGGTTGACGGTACGGGGAATGCTGGTGATCCATGTGTTAGGGTTAGCATGGGTTTACATTTTCTAAGACCTCAATCCTGGGCTTGGGATTCAGGATGAGAGCTCATTCACAGTCTACTGTCTCATTTCCAATTTACTCTGCACAAACACAAGCTACATCATTTCTTTGTTGTTCCCTGTCCACTTAATTAAATGGAGCATAAAAGGAGTATAAAGATGAGTGTCAAAGGCACTGTAATGCATGCAGTTTGACTTAACTAGTTCACATTCAGGGGCTTGTACTACGAAGCGGGATTACTGGCTTATTGGGGTAACTTGTCGGATTTAAGGTAGTCTGAGCAAAATGTAAGCGAACGAATATGAAGTCCATTTAAACTGTGGTACCTTAAATCCAACAAGTTACCCCGATAAGCCAGTAACCCCGCTTCACAGTACAGGCCACAGGAGTGAAACAGTGTAAACAAATGGAAAAAAAACCAACCCTTCTGGAACAGCCCAGATGGGAAATCTGAATCCTAGAGGCTTCCCTCCAGATTTAAGGCATGACCTGTGATCTGCATACCTCCCTCAGCACCTGAATCACCTCGGTCAGCACCTGAATCACCTCCCTCAGCACCTGAATCACCTCGGTCAGCACCTGAATCACCTCCC